TCCCAATTCGGAGTGGCGGAAGCAGGGAGATGTACAACACTTGACATGGCAGAGGTGTATGAAGGGGATTACGAAACGTCTGGGTGCTGTCGTTGATGCTCGCCTTCCAGGATGGGAACCGCGTGATCCCTACTGCACCCGGTTGGATGCATTGCAAGATGGGCTGCTAACAAGATAGATTAGCGCCCAAGTATGTTGCATCAACGGAGTCTCTATCCAACAAGGAGGTGCATGCACCTCGGAATGATTGTAGTAAGCTAGCACTAAGTCCTTACCCATCCATCTTTATTACTTTCTTCACAATAAGGTTTTCTAATAAATCATCTGTGTCAACATCTATTAGCATCTGTGTTAAACACTGATGCTATGCTGTCGATGATGACTCCAATAAAAGCCCAATAGGGTTAGCAAGGCAAAGTGGGGCTAAAGAAACTAATGAATTATCAAGTCAATTAAATCCATCCGCAATTTTATCATGCATAGCCAGATTTTGCAGCAACATTGCGTTTCTCTTTGCGACTAAACGTAGAGCTAACTGTAATCCGTTGACCATTACTTAAAAGATGTTACACAAAACTGCCGAAGTAGCGTCCCATGGACACTCCATAATTAAAGTATTCGGCGTTATCTTTCATGGGCAACATGGTGATCTCAATACCCCTGTATGATTCTTAGTTGATATCGGAGTTGCAAAAAAGTCTATGGCTTTTGGTAGACTCCCGCGAATCATCCTGTTATGGCAGCAACGGCCACGATTCCGTGCCTCGTAGCCACAGACGATGCTAGGAACGGCAAAGTCACACTAGGGTTAAATGGACTTAAGGGCTTACGAACAAGTTAAGATTGTCACCAGAAGTAGAGGCGTGTGTACCCTCTGCCATGTTTGTTTAGTTCACATAAATCACTGGATACCAAAGACATGTCCCTTTTTCAGAGCTTGGACTCATAATTTACAGATTAGCCAATTGCGCACCGGAGACCCAATATGTGAAACTACAAGGTACCCTTTCACTTCTGTTCTACTTCATATGAATGGTTTGCGCACACTGCATACTCTATTAATCTGTATGTTCACTTTGAGTAATGTGACTCACCTTACAGTACATCAAGCCAGAAACGAAATAACGTGCTTCTTCACAGAAGGCACCCAACTATACATTACCCCAAAAATGTTCGGGTTTTAATTTTCCACGCGATTCCAGTAGTCCCTTTTTCTTCTTCTTCTTCAGAGTTCACACTATACACTCATTCGAAATATACAAATGAAATATTCACCCGGAGCTCGAATAAATCACCAGCTCACCGAAAATTATCATATAAACAATGCGATAACTATTCATTGTTTACAAACCACAATATCCAAATGTTGAAATCCGATTCAAACAGATCGCCTTCGATAGCGGGCTGACTAAGGTAACAAAAAACCCAGTAACATCGATCGTGTCTCCAGTCGTGATGTTTTAACTTCAATTTTTCTTAACTTGACTTTCGAATTTGTCAAACCTTGAATAACAAGTAAGTTGTGTGCACGAAGACGAATTGTGGAAGTAAGTCACAGAATGAAGTTAATTTCTAAATCTAGATAATGTCCGAAAAAAAGTTGGCGTGGTAATCTCAGCAGATATTGTGTGGAAAACGTAGAATTTCCTAGAGAGGTAGGTAACATGGACTCATGAATCAACGAGTCAGCGTTACTAATCTTGAACCATTTGCAACGAGTACATGTCAATAACTACCAAAGCACAAACCAACAGTCCAACATGCAGTGCAGTGGTTAGTCTGATGACATTCAGGTACGGATTTAAAGGCCATAGATTTGAGAGAAGCCCATAAAACTGAAAAATACTGGGAACTCTCGAATCAGAATTAGCACTGGAGGTTGCATAGCCTCACAAGAATAAATCCGGCATCAGCTGTCGGATTCGTCTGTCACATCGAGCCCTGCTGGTATACCACTATACATGAAAGATGACACCCAACGAAACTCGCATCGTGCAGCTTATGGAAGTCTGAACGCAATCTGAACGTAATCCGGTACAAACCGGAAAGAAGACCGGCGAGCGGAGAGAAAAGACGGACAACTGAACCAGTGAACTGGACGTACAATGTAGGTGGGCTGGTGACTCTTGCCGCTCATGAAAAGCACCCGGATCGCACTCGTATAGCCAACCAGTTTTAGCTGGATTGGTCTGTGCGATTAAGGTTACAGAAAGTTACTGTCGGCACAACTATGGGCTTAACACTCCGAAAAGGTCGCTACGAACAGATGGGCTACTTGCTGACCTGTACGGTAACTAAAAAGTCGAACTGCGTAAGACCTGCATTGGGGACATTGATGATCTGCATTATTGATGAATCAAACCCATATCAAACTTGCATGGAACGGTTTCATGTGTACAAGAAGGGCCGTATAACACCACTCCGCTGATCCACACTTTTTGAAGAAAATTTGAGCCCATTACAGAAGTCGCTTGCCGTGTTCTCTGGTGTGTCTATTTCTGTATCCTTGATCTGTTAACTTAGTTGGAGCACAGTTCATCACAGAGTGCCTTTCTTCCAGCAGGTCCCTGTCTTAGGAAAAAATTCCGTCATTTCCGAACAATTTGCGCCTCGACATTTCTGCAAAGTCTGCTGTACGGATCAAAACACCGTTCCCACACAGAATCACTTGATTGGCACACCCCGTATGAAACCCATAGCAAAGGCCATGCTACAAACAAGTCACCCACACTAGTGTATTAGTGAACACCAAAGTAGCTGTCATAGGTTGTTGAAATCGGAGCAGACGATCGATAATAACAATAATAATAAACAGCCGTTCAGCTTTAAGACGGTTTTGGCGCATAGCTGACAAGCAAACCGAAGAAAGCACGACGGCTGAAATACTGCCCGGGCCTAGACAGCAGAAGTCGGATGGCCGAGGTTGGGTTCGAACCACGGATCTTCCGGTCATTAAGTGCTCACCTAACCCAGAGAAAATCGATTGACCGGAAATGAAATGATTACCAGACATTACCTCGCGTTTCGTCACACTAAGAACTTCGGAATTACAGCGATTCTCAGAAAGGACCTCAGAGGAGGAACTACCCGTCTGTAAAGTTCAAAACAGGCGCTATTCGCAAGCCAGTCCCAACAATGGAGTCATTCCGAGGGGAATCCCTATCAGAAGGGTACTGCAATTCGTTTCCCATTGCTTGCTATCCGTAAAATTACCAAGGGATTCATGATTCCCATTGCATTCAACTGTTGTGCTTTTCTGTTAATCCTACGAAACGAGATGCACTTAAATAAAAGTATGCATTCACCAGCATTCCCCTTTTGTCCTCAACTGAAACTCTTAAGCAGCCCATTTTTGCCTGTGCTGTTCAAGCACGAGCGGTGTCATGGTTTTCATGTAATTTCGCCCAACAGATCTTATAGGCTTGACTTAATGAAGCATTCATCGACAAATCATTCCAGACTTCCACATATCAAGCTTGTTCTCATTTAAAATTGAATTTACAATCAGGATTTCGGAATAAATCCAAACCGATCCCAGTTTAAGATCGACGTACAGACAAGGATTCTAACATGCAATTCTATTTCTTATATGACTGGGCTGGTTATAGGACGAAAGCTGGTTTGAATCAACATACAAGCACACCCGTGGGTTACAAGCCGTCGCACCCGTTGCCCTTATGATTGGGCGACTGGGTCTATTCAACTAGCTTTCTCTCACTCCGGGTTCACAGCCATTTCTCGGCTACCTTAGGGCCTCGGTTAAGCTCCATGTTTCGATTCGCTAAAATCAGTTGCTCAATTCTGCTGTCGAACTATGCCCAAACTCATGAACACCCTGGATTTCCTTTCAAGTTGCCTATGCTTTGCGCAAAATTGGATTCCCAACGTCAGCTCACAATCACAGTCAGTTTAAGCAAATGTTAAAGCTCACAAATATCAAAGCTGAGGTGCCAGTCCTGTTATCATACTGGCTTTTGCAAAAAAAGTGCATCTGCTCCTCTCCGGATGAACACGTTGGGGCTGTTCACATTGAAAAAGTGTAATTAGTTCTTCTGTCTATCTAGTCGAAGATGTCCTGAAATTAGTAAGCCCCTGAGCCACTTGCTTCATCTGACCAATAGCTCAGCGCCGATAGCTGAATTTCGCACAACTAACGGTAAACATCAATAATGAGGATGTGAGAATACTACAGTAAGCTACGGTCGGTAAGTGCTGTCTAGCATGCACGGATCCAACAGGCTTCTACCAACGTATTTTAGCACCCTACATCACTACTTCAGAGGGGTGGTATGGGTTACGGCTAACAGTGATACTCAACCAACAAAATCAATCATTGTGACGTCACAACCCAAATACCGCACATAGTGAGGAACAGTATGTTATCTTTCCACCTACTTAGGTCATGACCCAAGTAAAATGCATAGCAGTGGAACAAAACCCAGCGCTGACTTCGTCACAACGCCGAAAAATTCGGATTACTAAATGATGGGTGCAATGCACTCGTCTTTGCGAAAACAGTCACCACTGCCCGACTATCCTACGTCGACGGACCGAAATCCAGCCTGCTCCGTACGTCCTCCATTCCACATTCATGTTCCCCACACATCCTCCAGTCCTTGCCCAAATCATGGGTTAACAGGCAGTTAATATCTCGAGATTGCTTTTTACGCGGTGTCGTTTGCGTGTTTCGAAATTTGGTCACGTAAGAAGTCCCCAAGCTCTAGAATTCAGCCGTTACAATAAATTATATTTCCGGATGATGAAAATATCCGCGATGTCAAACAGTTGAGTCGTTTGCCAGCAAGCCAAGCAGACTGCCTGACAGAATGCATAGCCATAGAGCTGAAGGAGCCGTTTAGGTAACGGCGTGAACTTAAGCAGACGTTAGGCGAATAATTTACAATTTGACCCTATAAGGAGGGGAAACAAAGCTTCAATACTTATCGATCGCATTTACACTGACCATCAGTCATCGCTTTCAACTAACAGATCGGAAAAACATGTTTGATGAAGAGTGTGAAGCGAAAACCAGTCCGGAGATAAACGGAGGTAAACAGGTCAAAGGTTTGTCTGACACCACCAGACAATCTGCGCAGTAAGCTTGGGGAAAAGAGTAAGAGTTGTCCGACAAAGGATGTATAAAGCATATGTACATTTAACCGTATCAAAGCATGGGTCATCACTCATTTGATTCAATACATTTATGTTTTAGACTTCCGTTTTTTCTCCGATTTCGGGCCTGAATCCTCACTGTTGGTTTCACTACCACTGTTTTCACTGGCTGAATCTGAGGACTCGGTTCCTGACGAAGCACTATCGTCATCACTGTCACTCTGTGATGATGAGGATCCGTTTGAAGCGAAGGTCTCTGTGTCTGAGGAATCGGATGACTCTGTAGAACTTTGATCCGATGAAGACGATGTGGATGATGAGGAAGACGATTGTCGGTGTCTAGATTACAGATAGGACGACAATAAATACAAAAACGCACCTAGAAGCTTTGGAGCGAGCTTTTTTCTGTTGAATGCTCTCTAGTTTTTTTCCAAGCTTGCACGTATAGGACTCGCGTTCCAAATATTTCCGCTTTCCTTTACACTGAAATGTCCAATGACCTTTTTCGAGACACCTTTGGCAGGTGACATCTGAAACGTTAGTCGTTTGGCTGTAACAGAAAAACATGTGAGGGGGTGTCAGGAACACGGGGCCAGCGTGTGAGAATGCGTCTTTCAGGCTCATTAAGTGATGCCACTTTAACCCCTCCTGGATTTTCAGTCCAGACAATTAAGATCCTCAGTGACAAGGGTTCCATGTGCAGTTCAAAACTCCGAAACCAGTGTCTACGAAAAATAAGACAAGACGCGCTTTGTGAATGTTCTGAATCTTCGAGCGAACAAATCTGAATTGGGGTTCATGAGATGTAGATATGCGTCGATTAGATAAATCTTCTACAGCTTAGAAGCTGGCAAAGCCAATATCCCGGAAATAAACCACAGGAGTGAGGATAGCGGTAGGAGAATAGAACCGCCATACAGAAATGACGTAAAGGGCCCGCAGTCCCGCCATCTCGAGACACCAGCGAGCTATTCTTGATCTGGATTGGTGAAGAATTTAGCAGTTCGTTTCGTTGCAATATGTACCGAACACAATTAAGCCAACGGATGAAGTGAAACAAGCCACGGCTCAATAGATAAGTACTGAGGCTATCTATGTGATGTATTTTCCTGTAGCTTGTTCTGGTTCATGATTGGCTAGGATTGACCTAATGACCCAAATGACAAGAAATAGCGAAAGAAAGACAGGCTCACCTACTTGTTGTAAAGAGATATTGCAACACACCCAAAACAGTATCTTGTAAGTGATAAGTTGAATTTGAAGTTCCCGTTCGGGACACCTTCTTGAGAATGAAACCAACCTGGGCGATAAAGCTGTCACTGCGATACTTTCGAGCATTTCCAGAGCTTCAGAAGCACAAAACACTGCGTGTTAGTTTCAACACCGTCATATCGTTAAAATGGATCACGGGCAGCGTGATTAACTCGAAACTGGGCTGAATATAGCGCCACTCAACATGCGATCACACAATTCACGTCAGGTGAACTGTTGTTGACTGAATCTTTGAACGACGGCTTCTCAAAAGAAGGCCAATTTGTCCCGTGGGATGTATCCTTCCTGAGCATGTTACTTATACCACAAGCTTGAAATGATGGATAGTCACAATGCTGGTGAGACACCTGTGGCTGAATGATGGGTCATTTAAATTCCCCTACAAAAGGTGCAGCAATGCTCCGTGGACTTTATGCGTCTCAGAATCCCTACTACTACTACTAACTGGGAACTCGATGCTTATCTAGCTACCATCTAGCACGTCTCAGTTCGCAACAGTCCGGTCCAATATTCCTCCAAACGGTCCGCCTTTTTTTGCCCTCCCAGGTTGTATACTCCGGTCCAATATTCCTCCAAACGGTCCGCCCTGTTGTGACCTCCCAAAAAGGTTGTATACCGCTTTCGCAAGTACAAAGTAGTGCTACCACCCGTTTGATAAGGCTGGATTCGTCTAACTTCTTAAGGTCGTAGCGGAGTGATCTGTCCCAACAGATGTTACCGCAGAAGTCGCCCAGGCTAACCCAACCAACCTGTTCACAGGATGGTACGGCCGTGGTGCTAACGACATCAGCCGTTTAAGTCAATATCAGTTGGTTCACCTCAACTCCATAAGGAAGGTTCGGCAATTAGTTAATAATACTCTGCAATACTGTTTTCACCTTTATGTGGAATAAAGCAACCACTACGGGGATCTATACGGTGTTTGCTATCTGATTTTTGGATTACCATCCTCAGACTGGAACCCAGTGCGAAAATTAATTTCACTAGGGAGGTATTTCCCGTTTGTTATTCCTACTGACAGCAGTCCAATAAAAAAGCAACCCAGACAAAAATAGATATTGGGTGACACACCGATCCGCCTTGTGGTTGGTCCACTCAGCAGAAGCAAACACTAAAATTTGCTGTTTCCGGAATTGCAGGTAAAATGACTAGTTGGTCTTACTGGGAAAGACGCGAATTGGATGTGCATATGACAGATAGACCGGTCTATTGGTTGAGCTCATACGTGCCCTTTCATCCCTGTCTCGCCGAGGACCATACAATCTTGTCCACATAAGAGAGCAGAGGCGTTTCCAGGACTACACTCAACAACCGTTGCTAAGACTTTTTGTAAAACAGTCAAAACACTGGTTGAAAGTACTGTGCACTCAGAGATTGCACAGTATGCCAGCTGGCTCACAATTTGTCCGGAAACCATAATAGATTATGCAGCTCATCAATTTCCGTGGTCTAAATTTTCCGCTGACTACACAAGTATGGTCACAAATAACCATCACATTACTACCGGAATTGACAAACTCTGAATGGATATCGATCGAGTGATGAAAATCGGTGTTCATGGCAGAGTATATCACCTTTCACTGGGCACTCGGTAGAAAAAACAACTGTATAGGGTGTTAATCGGGAAACAACGAAAGCATACGTCCGTACACACAACCGTATAGGTTGAGTGCTCAAGCCAAGTGTACTGGATGATATTTGCAAGAATATTGATAAGTGTGGCACGTTCAGCTGCGGCACCCTATTGGTGCCTAATTGCCATGCCACCCGAAGGTTGCACGAGGGCTGGGATACTGCCAGGTTGCCCCAGCCTACTAGACAGGGGAGTCGAGAGGTAGAGGTCGGGTTCGAACCACGGACCTTCCGGTCAGTAAATTTGCGTTCTAACCACTTGGGCTATCTCGCCCCCACGGAAATGTCAATCGAAACACTACACATGACTTGACTGGGAGCATCAAACATAACCAGACGCAAACGGATGAAAGGCCGTCAACGGGAACCTTGACGATTCAGTTCGGTATTACATAAACGCGCCTGATATAGTCGACAGAGAAGCGTTTTCTCGGATACTCGTGGAAGGTGGCAGCGATCGAAACTGTTTTAGTATACCCAAACTACTGGCCTGAATAAACTAAAATCCTATTTGCCGCGGATATACGCTGTTGTCCCTCAGAATATTGTCCCTTCCTTTCCGCTTTTCCACATATTCCTGGAAGGCTCATTGACTACAGCATATGCAAATACGCTGGCGGCGGAAGGATCGCTTTAAACAGTTGAGTTCTCGAAGCCGATTATATATATATATATATATATATATATATGTATAAGAATGTATGTATTAGTAGTATATGGGGCACAATACTTGCCCGCTACTATGC